AGATCTTTCATGGCGGGTCTTCTCCATCGACTTCAAGTGGTTTCCTTCCACTTTAACAGAACCAGGTACCATTTCCCCTACCTTACATTCAGTTCTTCAATTATTCCATTTTCAACATTCGAGCTCCACTCAGATTACCAAAACACCGAACCCTCAGTTTCTCAGATCAACAACCGATCTGATCTCGACGAACGCCACGTTCTGAGTGAACTCTCCGATTTGTTTCAATTCCATCGGAAAACCACCGAGATTTCGAACCTCTATAAGGAGGATAGTGCTACGGTGAAACAAATTGAGAGGAGAGCTGTGGATGCGTTTTTGTTGCCTGAAGAGAAATTGCGAGGGGTTTTTCTTCAAAAACTAAAGGGAAAAACTGCAATTGAGAATGCGTTATCAAATGTTGGTGTGAATTTAAGTTTGGACGTTGTTGCTAATGTCGTGAATAGAGGGAATTTGGGGGGTGAAGCTATGGTTATGTTTTTTAGTTGGGCAATTAAGCAGCCGGGGATACCTAAAGACATTGATAGTTACAATATAATCGTTAAGGCTTTAGGTAGAAGGAAGTTCTTTAAATTTATGGTGGAAATTCTGCATGAGATGGTGAAGGAAGGTTTGAGGCCAAATTTGGAGACACTAGCAATTGTAATGGACAGCTTTGTTGCAGCAAGACAAATTCATAGAGCAAAAGAAACGTTTGAGAACTTAGAGGGGATTGGGTTGAGACGTGATGCTGAGTCTTTGAATGTGCTTTTACAATGTTTGTGTCAGAGATCACATGTAGGGGCTGCAGATTCATTGTTCCATGAAATGAGTGGAAAAATGAAGTTGAATTGCATGACATACAATATTATGATTGGTGGGTGGTCAAAATATGGGAGAGGTAGTGAAATGGAGAGGATTTTGACGTCAATGGTAACTAATGGGTTTGATCCTGATTGTTTGACCCATAGTTACCTTATTGAGGGTTTAGGAAGAGCCGGTAAAATTGATGATGCTGTTGAGATTTTTGATCACATGAAGGAGAAAGGTTGTGCTCCAGATACCAGAGTTTACAATGCCATGATTTCTAATTTCATTTCTCTTAGGAATTTTGATGAATGCATGAAATACTATAAGGGTTTGTTGAGTGATAGCTGTGAACCAGATTTAGATACATATGCCAAATTGATTACTTCTTTTCTCAAAGCTAGAAAAGTTGCTGATGCACTTGAAATGTTTGATGAGATGTTAGATCGAGGAATTGTTCCCACTACTGGGACTGTGACATCTTTCATTGAACCTTTGTGTAGCTTTGGTCCACCCCATGCTGCAATGATAATCTACAAGAAAGTGAGAAAAATTGGCGGTATAATATCACTTCAAGCCTATAAGCTACTACTCATGCGGCTGTCTAGGTTTGGTAAATGTGGAATGTTGTTAAATGTATGGGATGATATGCAAGAAAGTGGCCATGCTTCTGATATGGAAGTTTATGAGTATGTCATCAATGGACTTTGTAACATAGGGCATCTTGAAAATGCGGTGCTTGTTATGGAGGAGGCTTTGCGCAAGGGTTTCTGCCCTAGCAGGATGATTTGTAGCAAACTAAATAACAAACTGCTTGCTTCGAACCAAGTAGAGAGGGCTTACAAACTATTTTTGAAAATTAAAGATGCTCGCCGTCATGAAAATGCTCGGAGATATTGGCGCGCTAATGGCTGGCATTTTTGAGATGGCATGTGTACTCTAGGCAAAGGTAAGTGTGTTTTGAATCTTCTGCTTCGCTTATTTTCCTTGTGTTCTGCAATTAATTAATTTCCTTATTATCTGCTTTTGATGTTTATAATTTCACTTTATCAACATCAAGAGCAGATGAAAAGTGTATTTACTGGAGCCCAATCAAGCAGCTGTTTTCTGAACTCTTTTTTCAACCAGTCTATGCTTTCAGACATTCTATTGTTTTTCAAGCTAGAAAATTGACGGTGTTCTCTGGGTGTCAGATGTGACGCTGGAACAAGGATTTCAGTGGGGAGTTTGTCTTACAAGAGAGTATTGGACATTTTTCAGCCAAAAGGGTTTGTGAGCCTAGAGTGGTCAAACTTGCAGAATTGTGTGATCTAGTGGAGAAATAAGAAGGTGGTGTCTATGTTGCTAAAATTGATGGCCGACAAAGAAAAATGTTGATAAAATTGAAGACATAAAAGCCTGAAATTTTCAGGGTAAGCATACAATTTCTTTGGTGAACCCCCTCTCTCTCTCTGTGTTTGCCAATGCATAAAGATCCAGGGTATTTTGTTCCTGTCTTCTAATTCTTTTCTTAATGTATGTGTTATCTCCTGCCCTGGATAGGCTACATTCTCTAACTTGGTCCTTTCTCTTTGCATCTCCTGTTCAGGGGGAAAACAAATGCTATCAAAAAAGTTTTACATGGCTCGTCTTCAAAGGGTGGATCCTTCACTCAGACAATGAATCTCCACAAACAGGAACTCTTTTCAAGCTTGTGTCTGAAACATGAGAATCTCAGACCACAATGACAAAAGGTCTTCCAAGTCCAGAATCTCAAGTTCTGTTCTGTTACAATTGAGAATTTCCCTTCTGTAATCAAACTTTCCTAGTTGAAAGAAGCAATTCCAAATTTTGGCAAAGTCTGAAGTGCTTCCGTGAGTTTCATGCAAAATGGACTCGGTTTCTGCAGAATCAAATTCAAGTTATTTCGTTTACTTAGCAGAGTGATCGGGTGCAAACTATTTCAATATTTGGTTGTCCATAAGTATGTGGTGTGTGCTTTTGAAGGGTAAAGAATCACACAATAGCAGTTTTCAATATATGTATATGACTCCGATCTTCCAATTTGTTCTTTGCACTACCAGCATCAGAATCAACTACATTAGCAAAGAGACTGCTGATTTCACAACATACTCTGCGTGCATGTCCTATGGTTGATGGTTTCATGAAGATGAAGATGCTGTAGATGCCTTTTCAGTATGGACAAAGCATACAGATGAAGTAAGAAATGCTTCTTGCATCCATTTGTTTAGTTAAATATTAGTCAAGCTCATGTGTGTTCTAGATAGGCCATTTAATAACTTAGTTATCATGCTCGTGACATTTTTATTGGAATTCATCATCCCTTCTCCTCTGTGTTGATGCAGTTTTGAGTTTTAACAACGTTTCTAATGAGCACTTTCCTCTTTGTAATCTCAGGGCGTTTGCCAAGTAGTAGCTTTTATCTGAAATTTCATTTGTTACCGTAATGATTTCCAAAGCCCTGCATCATTTTTGAACATTTATTTCACCCAAAATCATTTCTTGTATATATATATATATATATATATATATTTGTGGGTGTACTTTTTTTTTTTGGTACATTATTTGTGGGTGTACTACTAAGCCACTGCGCTTGCCTAAATTATTTCGTAAGGACTGTTGTGAAGATATCCTCAGCCAACCGTTGTGTAATTTCCCCAATGATAAGTGTACAACCGATATAAGGTTAACTCTGGTGCAATTTCTCTCCTTTTTCCTTCTCTAGGATTGTACAATTGCATGTCAGAGCTGAGAGCAGCTGACTGTTTTTTCAGGGCAGCTGACTGTTTTTTCAGGGCAACTGACGGAGTCACTTCATACCAATTTTCTCAAATAAGAATAAATGATACATTATGTCTGTCAACATTCTTCTAAGGTAATTATTATGAAAAATAAATGAATTCTTTGTTTTGTAATTTAAAATATACTATATTATAACACCTGATCTTTCGGGTCAATTAGCAGCCTGTCAGCTTGCGCTGCATTTCTTCTCTTTCATGGGTAGGTTTCGAGACAACTTGTTCAAAAATATATTTATATTATAAAATAAAAATTATTAAATAAAAGATAATTTTTATTATTAAGAAATTTTTTATTTTATAATTTAAATTATCAAACACTTTTTTGGAAATAAATATTATTTTCCCAGTCTCCTTTCGTCATTTTCTTCTTCTTTATTGGGATTAAATTTACAAGCATAATTCAAAGTATGAATCAACTCAAAATCATACATTTACTTTTATTTTACCAAAAAAGAGAAATATTGTACATTTCCAAGCAAAACTCAGTGATAAACTAAAGTAGATTAAAATTGCTCCTAGGTCAGACTTAAATCTGTAATTTAGAAGTGCCAGCAATTTCTTTTTGTCATTTTCAAAATTGAAATTCGGCATAGTGGGTTTTTTTTTTTTTAATGTATAAATCCGGAAATTTTCTTTTGTTTAATGTTATCTCCTTTATTCACCCTCAAAAAAAAAAAAAAAAAGGAGGAGAATTATTCATGATGAAGAAATCCTCGTAGAGTGAAATCAAATCCCTCTCCAAAACGCCGCCGTTTCAATGTTCCCGAATTCCCTTGTCATCTTGGCGGAGGCACATTTCTTCGCCAGTAGCAGCGCGCCACTCTGCCTCAGACTCAGACCTCCTTACGACGACGGCGTGGAGACTCCGATCTTGTCTAATCCATCTATTCACAGGTAAGAACCGTCTTTCAATTCAAACCCTAACCCCACCCGTTCTCCGTCAAACGAATTATTCTTTTCTTCCTTTCTTCTTCCATATTAATGAAACTCGAAAAAAAAAATGTTGAATTTATGCAGGTAAACGTGGTCATATTCCGGCCAAAAAAATGTGTTTTTCTCCTCTCAGGCAAGCACTCGAATTTTACCCTTTACAATATTATTGTCACGTTTTAATGCTTTAAATACTTGCTCTACGGCAAACAAAAAAAAAAACTTTAAATGCTCAGTTGCTTCAGTGCTGTAATTTAAATGTTAAGCTTGGTTTAGTTTAGATTTCCATGTTAAGCTTCAACCTAAATGTTTTTTCTAATTGTTTGATTTTTCATGGCACTTGTCTAAGTCTGATTTTGGACAAACAATCCTGGGTTGTCTGCAAAACTCTAAGTTTCATTATGGAACATGAGCGTGGAAATATGATGTTGCCTTGGCTTGAATCTTTATAGCACAGATATAGTGTCAGCAAGTTTCATCATATAGTATTTGCTCTGTATCTTGTTTGAAGTTTTTATCTTGGATGTGATTTTGCCCTTTTTTTCTATAGAATCTATACCCATTGTCAACCGGTCTATACTTTCAAAGAGTTTTTTCTTTGAAGAGTAGAAAATTGAGAGTGTTTTCTGGATGATAGATGTCACGTTGGAATGAGGAATTCTGTTACCATGTATTCCGGTAGGAGTCTGTCTTACATGAAAGCATTGGGTAGTTTCCAGTATAAAGGGTTTGAAAGCCTGAAGCAGCCATTACATACTTCCACTGATAATGATGACGACTTTGAAGAATTGGGTGATCCAGTGGAAAAAGGTTTACCTATGCCTATAAAATTGAAGACAGAAAAGCCTGAACCTTATAGAGTGAGCATTCAATTCTTTAAGTTTCCATCTTTCTCTTTCTATATGTGTTTGTTAATGTGTCGAAATGATCCCTCAAGATTAGTTTCTCTCTGTGTTTAAAATTCAATTGTTGTTGCTAGATTTTGTAATGTCTTACATAGTCTAACATGATCTTAGTATTTTCTTCGTCAATTCAAGTGGAAAGTAAATGCTATCCAAAAAGGTTCGTGTGGCTCATATTTGAAGGAATGGGGAAGCTCCAGCTTGAAAGATATGCCTCCAGAAGCACGGAATGGTTTTCCAGCTTCTGGTCTGAGACTTGATAATGAGAAAAAGTCTTCTGACTCCAGAATTTCACGTTGTGTTACAATTGAGAATGTACCTTCTATAATCAAACCTTCACAGTTGAGAGAGGCAGTTTCAGCTTTTGGCACGGTCTCAATAGTTTCCATGAGATCAGTAGAAAATGGACTTGATTGCTGTGATGTTGAATTCCAGGTATTGCTTATCCTTAGTAAAGTCAACCTCTTTCCTCCAATGCTGCCTGTTTTAATATTTGGTTGTCTAATAAGTATGTAATGTGTGCTTTTGAAGAGTACTGAATCAAGCCAGAAAGCAATAGAGACTGGCAGTGTCACAATTGATGGCTTCAATCTTGCAATTCATCCTGTGCATGTCTTTCAAACTATTGCCATCAGAATCAGCAACATTCGCTCAGGAACGACTGATTCCACCATACACTCTGTATGTACATCCTGTGGTCCTTTGGAGGGGCTCATGAGGGTAGAACAAGATACCGTGGATGTTTTCTTTAGAGTGAGGACCAAATCTGATATTCAAAGAATACTAAACAAGTAAGAATGCTTAGACCATCCATTGTTTTTCAGATTAATCCGGCTTAAAAAGCATGCATATGTCAATAGGCAATGCTATACATCTTGGTTGATCATGTTCATGACATTTCCTATGTCACTTCTGAGGCAGGTTGGCATATATAGTAGGTCAATAGCAACAAAATGAAACCGATTCCAGTACAAAGCTTATTAGTTCTGTGGATACAAATTTTTTTTGATTATGCTAACACTAGCAAGTCGTATTGGTGCGTACTAACTGAACCATATCTTCCTCTTGTTAGATTGGACGCCACATTCATGGATACATTCCGATGGTCGGCCAAATTTCAACCTATAAATTCTACCTCAGTGACAATGACTGATAATGATGACGGCAATGATGCTCTTTGTGACTTGGAGTTAATCGACATAAGATTGGATGAATTGAGAAGGGAAATCATTTGGAAGAAGATTTATGCTGAAGACCTAAAGTGTCTACATGATTCCTTGGTTTACCTCAAAAATCATCCCCAAATGCAGTAGCAACCTCTCTGAGAAATGTTAAGGGGATTAGTGAGAAAATGAATGTCAAATTTTGAGATCTCCATTCTGATTTTGATTATTATTTCTGAGAAATCCCATGGGAAAATGAATTTTAATATTAACTGCAGAATTAATCCCTAAATTTGATGTGTTACTCTGATCATGTGAATTTGATACAATCCAAATTAATCCATTTACACATTTTCATTTCTAATGTTTGCTAGACTGAACTAAAATTGATGGAAGTGTCCTTCCATCCACACACC